GGATATTCCTCCAGAACAGAGAGATTACACTCAGAAGACAATTACAATAACGTATGGGGCTGAGACATCAAGTTTACTTTCAGAGGGATGAATGGAGATTATATATCAAAAGAGATAAATAAGCACAATTCTTAGAATTCTGGCTTTAATTTGACAAACTACGATATTTTTCTAAGTTGTGCTATTGCACAACAGTGCTTGGGATAACGTGATTATGGGAGGATTTGGGGTCCCGAAAATTGAGTCGTAAGTGATGCTATCGCAATTCAGGCAGCTTCCCAATCACCCTAGACCACATCGGATGTTCCGCCCCTTCCCTGGCCCCTTCGCAGGGCAGCAGGAGAAAGGGTTGTGGGTGATGCCAGGAAACAGGAGCTGCTCTGCTCCAGTCTGCAGTAGCAGGTGAGAGGTCAGCGGAGAAGAAGGTTAGGAAGGAAGAAGCTGGCATCAGAAAGAGGGTGCGGGGTGACGGGGAAAGTGAAGGAAAGGAGAAAGGACAATTTCTTTTCCTCTATGCTCGGCCCCAGCTCTGCCACCCAACACTGACGTCCTCCACCCCACCTGAAACCTGCTGCAGCGTGGAAGATCACCAAGAATCCATCTGTCCTGGAGTCTTCCCACTAATATGATGCGATACCACTTCTTTTGCATTGTTGCAATACAACTTGAATTTGCACTTTTCCGAAACCTCCAAGCATATAAATTACCCACTTCCATTGATTCCCGGCTGTGTTCAATTAAATGACACTCTTCTTAAATTAAACATAAGGAGAGTATCATTACGATCATTTTCACTGTGCAGAGACCTTTCCATTATATTGACACAAACTTTGGGAGCCTGTCTCCGTCTCTTTCTCCACCAAACCATATGCTGGTGGCTGTATTTAAACTCTGGTTTTGATCTGTGGCTTCATAAAAGTAAAGCATTAGGGGGAAGGAATGGCAAGCCTACTTCCAGTGTTAAGTATATATTGCATAGTGTACAGTTTAATCTGCCCTAAAGTCTTAGAAAATAACTGATAATTGGTAGAAATAAAGAGGTCATTTGATACAGAAAAGGTTGGGATAGTGGGGTGTAGTCTAGTTTTCTGAGAATGAGCTCAGAAAATATTGAGATAGTGGGACTATGGTCTAGTCTTGTTAGCAAGATCTAAATACACATTTAAAAAAAACTGGGTTGAGAGTCCAAAGATCTGTGTTCTAGTGTTCAGACGATATGGATCATTTTCTCCGTTATAAAATGGAGACAATGACATCTGTAAAGGGTTATGGTGGGATATAATGAGATCATAAATGTGAAATAACTCCAGGAAAAAAATGCTCTAGATAAATGCAATTTCTTATCACCACGTTGCCATACCAAACACACCAAACTCTTCTTAATGATAAACAGTTACTCACATTTCAGGGGACAAAATCCAAACAGCTTATCTGCATCGTAGTCCGTCGTGGTTCCACACCAGAGCCATCCGTCTGAGCGCCCGGCACTTGTGCAATCTGCGTACCACTTGTTTTCAAACTTGAATGGGATTGCACAGGTTGCTCCATTTGCGTTGCCCAGTAGCGTGTACATGGCTAGAGAAACACATCGATTTGCATTTGGAATGTGAGCAACATTTCTGAATGTTGATTTTCCAATAAGAAGGGTACTGAAGGCATTGGTCTCACTCTTTTGATCGTATGTGGTGACCCACACGAGGATTTCGTTTTTGTTTTTTCCCTTTCTCCCTCTACTCCTGTCTTTTGCTGGGTACATACAACATCTGTACTCAAGGATAACTCTAGTACCACTTTGTTTCCATGGTCTTTTGGAACAATCTTTCCTCCTTCCTCTGTAGACAACAGCTTTAATGTCTGCATTCCCTCCAGAACAAAGAGACTATTCTTTCTCTTGGTTGGAATCATAGAATTATGGAATCTTTAGATGGAAAATAACCTTAAAGCAATGTAGCCCAAACCCATAGTCAATACCTAAATCCCCTCCAACCACTTCCTGTCAAGCCAGCCTCAACTTGAGTCCCTCAACAAGGATCATAAGGAAGAATAGGAATTTTGTCATAGTTCTCTAACCCACATCATGAGAAGAAACCACTCAAGATCATTAGATAGCATCTACAATTGATATCTGTCTTTTTAAAAACTGATGCAAACAGATTAAGTGGGAAGTTCTGGATTCAACTGGAATGGTCAACTGAAATTCAGAATTATTGTTGATCATGGTTTAGCTTAAGCCAAAGGGGTTAGAGAAGCTCATATCTCCATTAAGAACCAAATAACTCATGCAGCTGAATTCTCCAGTTTGTTTAAAGTCTCTATTTTTGTAGGGATCCCCCCCACCCCTGCTTTGGGAGATAACAACCCTTTATATTGAAGTATTTGACCCATTGCCACCAATTAATATTCAGAATTTAATTTTAGGTAGTAATTCTTTTCTTAATTACATTTTGTAGAATCTACAACTTGGAAAAGGTCTTAACAGACATTCAATCATTCAGATAATACCAAGTTTGTAAAACGTGTAACACACTGGGGAAGCCAAAAGAACCCTCATTAACGGATCATATAACTGCAGCCAATTTATTCTTCCTCTTGTGGTCCAAACTTCCACACAACTACCAAATCCATCCAAGAATCTTAAAGGGATTCTTAAGTATTTTAGAGCTTAACAACCACTGTCCTAAACCCGATGCATATTTACCTCAAAGCGAATGGGAGAACAGGAAGGGTGGGCAAGGGAGAGCTACAATATTGTATTTTAAAATAAAATAAGTCTTCCTCAAGTTCAGTTCCTCAGTTAGCATAACTGTCCCATGCATGGAATCTGACTCAGTGAAATTTAATTCACCCTTGTCCTGCCCTATAATTTTCTATTGAGTTTCTCCTTCTGGAAGGTTGTGTTAGCTTAGGTTGCCCCTCACATAACTTCTAAACCCACATTATGTTCAAGAAACTCCTCAGAAGAACTTCTATCTACGCTCCCCTCTTCCTTATATAGGCAGAAAAATGGAACATTCACAAAGTATCTCCTTACAAAGAGCTGAATTCCTATACTCCATCTCAGCTGCAAGAAGCTAGGTTCAACCAATCTTAGCAGCCCAAGTAACAGAGCAGTTATAGAAACAGGTTATCTCTCGTCCCCAAAGGCAGGCTCTTTCTCTGACCTTGAGGTTGTTCTAGATAACGCCACACAATAACCAAGTATGGAAACCTGAAATGCGGTGATAACGTTATCTGACCCAGAGACCAGCCTTCATAAAAGCCTTCGAGTTCTTTTGTATTTTTGTTTTGTTTTGTTTTCTGTACAGCCACTGGAGAGTGAAATGTGGCCAATATGAGAGAAGACTAAATACTCTGATTTTATTTAATCTTCAAGAGCTCAAGGAACCGACTATACATAAGATGATCTCCACCCCCGAGTTGGTGGTATCACCTTCTAAGATAGCTAACTAAATATACTGCATATTAATTTACAAGCTAATTCCTCAGCTTTTCTAATCTTCTGATTATTATAGTTTCTAAATACCCCCAAGGTGACGACATAAATCCGAAACATTAAGAAATCTACATTGTCAAGGAATTTGCCAAGATTTCATATTAGGCAAATAGACTGGTCAAGAATGTTGTTCCATGGATCATTTCTGCAGGGACAACTTAAACCAAAAGAAAAGAAATGTTTGGTTAAATTCATTTATCCCTACAACTTTATAATGTTAAAGGAGGCATTGGATCAAAGACTACAGTGAAAATTATCTTCTAATATTTTTAGTACACTCCAAACAAGAACATATTTTCTTGAATGTTTTTCTTGAATTGGTTTCCAAGAGGTGAAAAATTTGACACAAAGCTACTTACCTTCATAACCTCTAGAGCATAAGTCATCTGTGGTTCCGTAGATCCTCCACCTGCTCCATAAGCCAGATCCCTTATAGAGCATAACATTCTTTTCTTGTTTATTGCCATAGTTAAAAAATAAATCTTCTCCCTTGATCCCAAAAAGTGTGTCATTTTTGCACTCCCATTTCTGAAATTCACTTCTCAAGTCACAGGCATACAGACTGACAGGAACCCAGTCGGTTTTCGATGGCACTCCCAGGCATAGTTTAAAGGCAACACTCATAATCTGGGACTCAGACACCCATCGGAATTTCTGGGATTCAGAATCCTGGTTGCAAACTGCGGTTTGGACGGCACTGGGGCCCACCGCTTCCACGCAGCGCTTGTGGTCTTCATTATAGATTAAAAATTGCCTTGTGTCTGTTAAAAAAAGAAAAGAAAAGAAAGAAAAGGGGAAAAAAAGAAGAAGAAAGAAAGCATGGTTAAGTGGGTTCATGTAACAAGGACAATATTTTAAGTCAAAAGTTCCCAAGCTCTCCATTTCCCTAAAGACTTTCACGACTACAGGAAGAGAGGTCCCTGAAGCTGGAGGGAGAACTGGACTAAGGGCTGCCTGGGTGCCAGCACTTGGCTGGACGCCTTCAAGATGTCCTAGTTTACGAGGAACCTCACGCAGAGGTCCACCTTACACGCTCGCGAATTACAGGGAGTGAACGTCAAAGTCAGATTGTGGAAGGAAATGATATCAACCCCAGCAAAGAAAACCTGGGCGACATGAATACAATAAGCTGTAAAATCAAATCCATGTATGTCCCAGAATAAGACATTTTTTTCAGAATAGGATTTTGAAGTGCGACACATCCAACCCTCTTGGAGA